AAAGAATTGGGCCTATTGTGGCTTTTAAGCACACTTAGGTTCCTGGCAAAAGTATTTTTAAGTGTGGGAACAGACAATTTAATTTTATATTTCTAGAAGGAAGATAAGTAGGGCAACATTAAGTCAAGAAAGCAACTTTAGAGAAACAAGAAAGAAAGAAGGATAAAGAAGTGAATATGTGTATGGAGACATTGAAGAAAGAAGGAAATAACTTCATTAAATTTAATTCAGATCCAACATGGACAACTAGCCAAAGGCTCCATTCAAGTCCATCACGTGGATTTTCTGTGCCGTAAGGATAGAGAAACCCATACGCATGTATCTATTTTAAGAGCAAGTCCTTCCATTGTTTCGTTGTTTCCTAGAAGATTGGCTAAGCAGTTTTTTTTTCTTTTTCTTTTGTTTTTTTTTTTTAACCTTTTTTGGGCTATCATTACTTTGTTAAATAAATCAACAAATATGAACACAAAATCATCAATTGTAGAAAGTTTTTTACTTTTCACTTTTCACCCTATAACTGTGGTCTTACACATAAACTTATAGTAGGGGTAAAGCTTACATATTGTAGTTTAATATATTTTATAATATATTTATTAAAAATTATTATTTTTATATTAAAATTAGAAATAAGTAAACTTAAATATATAATTATATATAATATAAAAATTAATTAAATTAATTTATATTTATGTTATATTTTAATAATTAAATTAAATAAATATAAAAAAATATGTTCAAATAAATATGTAATAATTATTTTTCAAAGTTAAAGCGTGCCCACAGGGCACAAATTTTTCTTCTTTCAAGTTTCAATATTTATCCATCAGTCAATCAAACAATAAAGTAACTTTAGACAATAAAAGAAGGAAAGAAAACAATGGGATGTCTAATGTCTTAGGAAAGACTGAGACTAAAAAAACCTAAGGTCATTTTCCTTTAAAAAAAAATTAATTTGAAGTTATAAGCACGTTAACAAAAGTACTTTGAACGTTCATCTTTTCTAGCATGAATGGCTAAGAATTGAAAAGGTGCCAAAGCTGACTGACTCTCAATATCATTTCATAATTATATGATGGTATGATTATTCTCAAAATAGTTGTTAGTTTTATTATAAATTTATTTTAATTAAGTATTGTTTTTAAAATTTTAAAGAAGGATAAATAATTTTTTTTATTTTAATTTTATTGTTATCTCATAAAATCTTCTCTCATTATACTTTTTTTTCTTAAAAGTAATATAGATAAAAATATAAGACTTTGATTAGTAGAGAATAGTTGTGATTTTTGATTTTTGTTGTTAAAATTTAAACAATAAATATTAATAATTAAAAATCAAAATTAAAATTATCAACTTATTTAATACAATATAAAATTTTAAAACTAACACTTAAAACTAAAAACTTAATTAATTTATAAAATTTATTAATTTTATTTTAAAATTGTAAAAATTTTGAAAATTAAAACAAAAAACTAAATTTAAAACCATATTAAATGGAGTCGCCTTCAGCCTCGTATGTAATTAATTAATTAGTGTCTTAGCACTATTATTTTTTTGAATTTTGAGTTACATAATAAAAAATAATTATTTTTTATTCTTTAAGTCACTTCATTTATATACGATACGACTTAAAATTAATTTTTTTTATTTATATTGAAAAAAAATTATCATTAAATTATATATTTAAATCTTTTACTAAGCACTACTAGTATGTAATTAAAAACAATGCAAAAACATTACTTTTCGTTATCATTTTCATTTTTTAATACCAACATTAAGCCATCTTTCGTTGGATGAAGTGGCCATTATTTGGTCATTAATAAATAAAAGTAAATTGTAACTATAACAGTTAATTAATAAAATAGAATAATGAAGATATGAGAGAGAGTTTGTTACCACTCTTATCTT